AAGATCACTACCTCTCAAAAGTAATAGGATGTGACTAACAGGGTTTGGACTCATGCAAATTTGTAGCAGTGTAAATTTTTATTATTGAAAAAGAAAAAATAAGAATTATACAGTTTATTTAAAAGCTTAATAACCAATGTAAAAATAAGAATATTATACAAATAAACACAACCACAAAATAAATTTGTTAGAAAGCAAATACAAAATTAAGTTACAAAATCAAAGAACATGCCCTTTGGAAAAAAGTTAAAAAGCAACAAATGTCTGAAAATTCTGATAAACAACAACAAAAAATGAGAGAAGACAAGGAAGCAAAATAGGAAAGCAATTATTACATCAGATATTGAATAAATCAAATAATTGAAAGAGAATGCTGTGTATAGACCTATTAACATAAGTCTATGGTAATAATTTGGTGGAAAAATAAATAATTTTAAAGGAAAATATGAATTATTATAATTAACTCAATAAATAGATAACTGAATATTGTATGAAAGAAATCAAGTTTTTTTGAAGAAAACACGCTCTAGGCTGGATTATTCTGATATAATTTTTCTCAAACTTTTAAATCATAGCTCTTTCTAAGCTATACAAGCTAATCATAGATGGAAAACTTTCCAATTCTTTTCATAAAAATAGAATACATTTGATACCAAAACTTGAAACGGATAAATCAAAGAGGAGAAAAAGCATTGAACAATTTTTCTTCTGAATATGCTTAGGATAATGAAAAATATCTACAATCAAAAGGCAATAGTTTACTAGGCAGTAAAGAGCTAGAGGCATTGCCATTATAATTTAGAACAAAACATGGATGTATGCTACTGCCACTATCAATTTATATTGTCCTGAAACCTCCAGCTGTTAAAAAATAAGACCAAAAACAAGGATAGAAGACATAACATGTTTGTTACTGAGGGAAAAAAAACCCTATTATTGTTTGCCAATGGTAGTTTATCTAGAAATTGCGAGAGATAAACTGAAAAACTGTCCAAACTAATAAGGTTAGTTAGTTGATTAATTAGATAAATGGTTCTTGTAACAGGGAGAGCCTGAATATGATAGATTAAATAAGACAGGAATCTATTTTCACCTGTCACACTAGTCCAGAGATCAGTGGTTCAGGAATGATGGAACTGCTCTGCTCCACATGGTGATTCAGAGACCCAGGTTCCTTCTCCCTTCCTGACAGTAGTCCCCTGGGATGGGAGTTGGCAAACGTTTTCTGTAATGAGCCAGATAGGCTTTGAGATTCATATCGTCTCTGTCACATTTTCTCTTTCTCCATCTTCTCTCTCTCTCTCTCTCCCCGCCACCCGCCCCCCGCCTTGATCTCTCTCTTCCTTTTGTATTTATCTTTTTACGACCATCTAAAAAGGTAAAACGATTCTTGCTCATGGACCATACAAAAGTCAGGGTACAGGTCAGATCTGATCCACAGGCCATAGTTTGCTAACTTCTGCTCTAGAATGCTGTTTAATTCTTTGTGCTTAAAAATGATTCATCTCAAGCTTGTGTTCCAAGATAAAAACACAAATGTTTTTAGTGATAACTTGGAAGTTGCAAATATCACTTCTATCCACATCCCATTGGCCAGATATTTCACCTGTTGAGCTTCAAGGAGGTTTGGGAAATCTGGGTAGCCATGTGACCAAGAAAAGTAGAAAAACACACTTGGATGGGACAACTATAAATTAAAATAATTTTTTAAAAAATTAATACTTTTGTAAGTATCAATAATTTCCAGTTAGAAAATATAATGGAAAATGGGTCTTTTGCAAATCATCAATAGCAAATTGTCTCTAAAAACTACCTATAACATTTTGAACCTGAAATGTTCAGGATCTACCTGAATAAATGTAGGAACATATAATAAAGAAAGTAAAAGTTGACAAATTAAAAGAAAGACAAATGAAATTGCTAAATGGAAAGCTGAGTATTTACAGTATGTATGTCAAATTTCTTAAATTAATTGATAAGTTTGATATAATTCTAATTAAAATTCTGGCCAGGTGCAGTGTCTCACACCTGTAATCCCAGCATTTTGGGAGGCCGAGGCAGGCAGGTCGCTTGAGCCCAGCAGTTTGAGACCAGCCTGGGTAACATGGTGAAACCCTGTCCCTACTAAAAATACAAAAATTAGCAGGGCATGGTGGTGTATGCACCTGTTGTCCCTGCTATTTGGGAGGCTGAGGTGGGAGGATCGCTTGAGCCCAGGAGGTGGAGGCTGCAGAAAGCTATGATTGTACCACTGCACTCCAGGCTGGGTGATGGAGTGAGATCGTGTTTCAAAAAACAACAGACAACAACAACAAAATTTCAACAAAATTAATGTGTGAGTTTGACCCGATGATTCTGAAATGTATGCAGAAAATAAATGTATGTAGGAAAATAAACGGGAGCAAATTCTCAGAAAAAAATTATGTAAAAATAAATGAAATGAAGTGTCATCAGTCAAAAGGGGGCTCAGGAGGCATAGTATAGTTGGAACAGGGAAACTCCTTACCCTTCTAACAATTTTTACGTCATAAAATCTTGGGAAATAGGAGATCTTTCTTTCACTTCCAACCACTTTCTGTGTGACCTTAGGCAAGTTATTTAATCAATGAAAGTGTCAATTTTATGGCAAAATGAACCCAATACCACATCTTTTATAGGGGTTTATTAAGGAATACAGTTTGTTCTGTGCCATTTCTTTACTGTCCTATCTTAGAAGGGAAAGACTGCATCTAACTAAAATGGTATCAAATCCACTGTACCCAGTGTAGTCTGCCACCTAGGATCTCAATACATGCCTGTGGTTACTGATGATGATGATGATAAAGAAGGGGAGGGAAAAGGGGAAGAGGAGGGAAAGGAGGAAGAAAGTGAAGAGGAAAAGGAGGAGAAAAGAATTGAAATGCTACAGAATTTTCCACAGCGATTCATCTAGGCAGCACTTGCCAGTGTCAGGAAAGAAAGCTGTTCTGAATTTTAGTTCTATTCCTAGCCATATAATATTAGAAATGTTACTTAATTTCTCTGTGCCTCTACTTTTTCACTGGTTAAATTTAGACAATAATACTTAACTTGCCTGGCGGTGATGATGGTAACAATAACAAACAATTTATTGATTAGTGGTTGTGTCCCTGGCACAAAGTGCTTATATGAAATGACTGAATTCACACAAATCTTAAGAGGTAGGTATCATCATCATCATCATCATCATCATCATTATGGATATTATTTGCATTTTGACAGAGGAGGAAGCAGAGGTAAAGAGATTACCATAATTTGCCCCAAACCATGCAGTTAGTGGGTGTTGGCATCAGGCCCAGAACTGGGGCAGCTCTTTGCCATGAGGGTACCATCTGCATAAATGACCAGCAATAGGTACTTACCCAGTACAGGTAATAAATAATAACTAGGCCAGGCACGGTGGCTCACGCCTGTAATCCCAGCACTTTGGGAGGCCAAGGCGGGCAGATCACGAGGTCAGGAGATCTGACCATCCTGGCTAACACCGTGAAACCCCGTCTCTACTAAAAATACAAAAAATTAGCCAGGTGTGGTGGCGGCGCCTGTATTCCCAGCTACTCGGGAGGCCGAGGCGGGAGAATGGCGTGAACCCGGGAGGCGGAGCTTGCAGTAAGCCAAGATTGTGCCACTGCACTCCAGCCTGGGCGACAGAGTGAGACTCCGTCTTAAAAAATAAATAAATAAAAAATAAGTAATAACTAACAACTGTTGCATCTGGGCACTCACCTTACAACGGCAGTCAAGTTGCACATTGCAATCTAGCTGGTCTGTCTTGTGAAATCTTTATTTAAACAAAGGATTGTTTAAAGGCTTAGTGAGTCCTTGAGGACAGGGAGTATGTCTTGTTTGCAAAGCTCTTGGGACAGTGCTTTGGCTTGTGGTAAACATTGAATAAACGGGGTGATCGAGGTGGTGGTTCACCATTGTCACCAAAAGGTCTAGACAAGTGCCTGGTTCTTTATCGGTCACTAAATACGTATTTGCTGATTGAATGAATACGTCAACAAATTTCTTAATTTCAAATGTCTTTGGTATTCCTAGTTTTTTCCTAGAGTTATGACTTTAAGGCAGTGCAAGATATGCCATTGTGAAAAGCCTTATAGTCTTAAATCAATGTTTGTCTACTAGAAGATCTTTCCTATTTAAATTTGGTTAAAACTAGTGAATTTGTAGGGGAATGGTAACAGTCTGCAATAAAGAAGGTGAAACCTTAATTCACTTCAAATCAACAAACATTGCTGTTTAGGGATAGTAATTGATAACTGTTTAGAATTCTGGTTGGAGAGTTTTATTACAGGTATGCATTGTAACCAGTTTCACACAATCCAGTGGCACAAATTTCAGCAAAAGTGATGAATTTCAAAGAAAACATATCTTTTACACATAATATTTCCAATTTGACTGTTTTCAGTTGTGAATCAAAAAACGTTTGGTTTGAGACAATGAGTATAGCGATGCAGTTCTATTAGAGTGTGGTGGGCTCACTAATGTTCGTTTATTTTAATCCTCTCTCTAAATTTTGACTAGAAGCCTCTTTATGAACACATACTTTATGAGTTCCACCAAATGGAAATGTCCCAGAAAAACATTACTTTATTGGGGTAGACTAAATGTTTCGCTGGGCAAGAATAAAATCACTGAAGGTAAGAGATAAGTTGAAAATTTGTGCTTCATTACAGAGTTTTGTTTGCTAGAATAGAGGGTGCCCATATTTCTGAAAATTGGGACTGGTTTCCAGAACTTTGCTGTACCATTTTAGATTCCCTTTCTTTAGCTATAGTCTAGTTTACTAATCACTGGGAAATGGAGTGGCCCTGAAAGAGAGAAATTACCCTACTTTATCAACTCTTGGGGAGATGAATCCTTAAAAATGAGAGAAATATTAGTTGGGGGCGGGATGAAGAGAGAGAGAGAGTGAGAAAGAGAGAGAGAAAGAGAGAGCCAGCAGAGGTGAAAAAATAATCCTTTGCTTTCTATATTAGCTTCCAAGATCATCCCCATATAGCTGTTCGAGACCTCAATTTATTGAACCTAATGGAGATCAGCAACAGAATGGTGAGACTGATGATGACTATGATGTGCAGCTTCACTGAGGTCATGGGCTTGGTTAATTCCCTTCCAAAGGGACGGGAGGAGAGAAGGAGAGCAAGAAGGGTGAGTACAGTCAATTCAGCCCCTCACTTTCAAGCTAACTGGGAACTGTTTATAATGAATGTCCCTGCCTCTATCAAGGGCATTTCTTCCATTTAACGAGCACGCAGGAAGCAGACATTGCTCAAGTACAAGGGTTCAGTTTGCAGTGAGCCACAAATCACATTTCATTTATCAGGCCCTACAGATGACAGGATATCATCGAATCCCTGGAGAGCCATATTCATTAAAAAGAAATCTTAAGTAATTACAACAATTAATTGACTTGAAACAGTTTCTGGTGGATAAGGTTTACATAATTCATTTGCCAGACAAAACAAGCCTGATCGACTCTGGGAACATGTTATTTAGAAATGTCCCACTATCTGACAAGGTACCTTCGTGGAAAGGTGTATATCATCGGGATCCTTTTTTTTTTTTTTTTTTTAAAGGAAAGAATAATTGTTGAACAAGAAATGGGACCCTGAAAATGTCTAACAGACTTTATTTTGAGCCCATAAAATGGTGCTACAGCACCTCTTTACTTACCATTGTGACTAAAACTGATGAATGAAAATGACAATGGGTTGTATTAATCAAGGACTCTCTTGAGTTTTTGGTTTTGAGGATGAAGTTTGAGTTGGATCCAAGACAAAGGCCTCCCAAAAAGCTAAACAACCATTTAGGACAAGATCCAAGGCCCAGTTTAAAAACTCCATTATCAACAAAATAAGATGCAGAAAGAACTTCTCTTGTCAAATTAATATTTTGCCAAAAAATTTCAGCCATTAGTCATAAATATTTTAGCTCCAATATTTTATTTTATTTTATTTATTTTATTTATGTAATTTTTTTTGAGACAGAGTTTTGCTTTGTTGCCAGGCTGGAGTGCAGTGGCGCGATCTCGGCTCACTGCAACCTCCGCCTCCTGGGTTCAAGCGAGTCCCCTGCCTCAGCCTCCGGAGTAGCTGTAACTACAAGCATGCATTGCCTAACTTTTTTATATTTTAGTACACACAGCTAACTTTTTTATATTTTAGTAGAGATAGGGTTTCACCATGTTGGCCAAGGTGGTCTCAGTCTCCTGACCTTGTAATCCACCCACCTTGGCCTCCCAAAGTGCTGGGATTGCAGGCGTGAGCCACCGTGCCCAACTAGCTCCAATATTTTAAAAGTTGGGGCCTGTGATTAAATGTAGAAAGGGATATCACCGAACAGCCATAACAAATAACCTTTTATGTACTGCAAAATAAGATTTTCCAACCACCCAGTGACACCTGCAACATAATATAACCACATTATTAGCCTTCCGCTATATCAATGTTTATTCTGGAGAAATGATTTAGAGAGGTTCACATAACGAAACACTATCCTCTAATACAGCTCTGAGTTACCTTATTGGGGTCATAGGAAAATGGATGATGGTAACTCTTAGGAAAGCAAGAAAGAAAAGCTTATACTATAGAATTTTTGAGATTGCTGTATCTTATTTCATGACCCAAGTGAGGTTTGTCAAGACGTCTGGCTTTTAGGACTCATAGTCTTATATAAAGGGCTAAAAGTTGGATGGGCATTACATCCAAGAGTGATAGTTTCTTAGGTTTGGTTCTCCCAAATCAAGCCATGTATTGGCTGCCTCAGTATCTCCTAAGAAGCTTGCTAAACATATGAATGCAGGACCCAGGGAAGACACATGGAAAAAGAATCACCAGGGTGGGCTCGAGCCTCTGTTGTTTTGACAGGCATCCTGAAACAAGATGACCATCAGTGAGATTCAGAATCACTGAAAAACCTGTAGAATAAATTTCTTTCTTTCTTTTTTTTTTTTTTTGGTGTTTTTTAGACATTATTCTATTTTCCCCCTCCACATTTCCCTTTCTGTGCCACTTGTTGAAATGTTGCTCATTTCTGGACCCTAAACTTACATGAAGAAGTTGCAATGGTATGGGTTCTATCCGTAAAATCTTATTCAGCCTTATTGAGTCCCCAGAGCTGGAGCTATAAAATGAATAATGTTTCTAAAAGTTAGTTTCATATTTTCTTGAATTTCTTTATAGATAGATTTTTATTTGTTAGTCTGTTTTTCCACATTCATAATTGCCATGTGGCTTCACAAAAATAACTCCCTTCTCTTTGCTAAGATTTTCTAATTTATTGTTTGTTTTCAGAGAATCTGATGGATTGCTTATATGCTTTCTGATGGCTGAGTTAAAATCCTTTTCAGATCATTCCAGCATTGGATTCAACTGATGTTGATGTGAGTTGGTTGCCTCTTCTCATTCAAGTTGTGATTTTCTTGGTGTAACGGGCAATTTCTATTGTATCCTGGACATTTTGGCTATTATGTTGAGTGACAGTGGATCCCATTTAAATATTTTTATTTTGGCAGGTAGTCGCCTTGTATAGGTTAGTTCTCAAGGGCCTTGCTTAATTTGGTAGGCTGTGGTTCCAACAGTAGCTTAATTTCCTTCCTTCCTCCCTGCCTCCCTGCCTCCCTGCCTCCCTGCCTCCCTGCCTCCCTGCCTCCCTGCCTCCCTCCCTCCCTCCCTTCCTTCCTTCCTTCCTTCCTTCCTTCCTTCCTTCCTTCCTTCCTTCCTTCCCTCCCTCCCTCCCTCCCTCCTTCCTTCCTTCCTCCTTCCTTCCTTCCTTTCTTCCTCCCTCCATCCTTCCCTCCCTCCCTGTCTCACTCTCTCTGTCTTTCTCTTTCTTTCCGTCTTTTTTGACAAGTCTCACTCTGTTGCCCAGGCTGAGTGCAATGACGCGATCTTGGCTCACCGCAACCACTGCCTCCCGGGATCAAGCCATTCTCCTGCCTCAGCCTCCCGAGTAGATGAGATTACAGGCACATGCCACCACACCTGGCTAATTTTTGTATTTTTAGTAGAGATGAAGTTTCACCATGTTGGCCAGGCTGGTCTTGAACTCCTGATCTCAGGTGATCCACCCACCTCTGCCTCCCAAAGTGCTGGGATTACAGGCGTGAGCCACCGAACCCGGCCAGTAGTTTGATTTTCTGAGATTTTGTGGTGTTATTTGTCTGCTTGGTTTATATGTTGCCAGCAAGGCTCTCACCAGTTCCTGCTGGGGCTGCTAGAGGAGCTGAGGGGCTTCCCCAGGGAAGCCTCCCCCATGTGTACCTTGGTGGGCAAGGGAAGTTCCCACTGGAATGGGGACAGGGCTTCCTTGACCAGCTAATTGCTGCTCTGGTATTTCTCACTGGGGTGGAGGAGTCTCAAGCCCTGCAGGGTAGGAGAGCATCTCTTCTGGTATTGTTAGCGAGGCTCTGGGATCAGGCATCTAGTCCCCTTGCCATAGTAAATGGTGCAGGTTTGCCTCCTATTGCAGGAGGAATTCCTATATATTCCAGCAGAGAAATGAGGCTTCCTGGGCTGCCTTCTGTTACTAGGTTGGGGTGGGGAAATGCTGGGTCTGAGTCAGCAGGTCTGAGTCCTGGGTTGGTTGGGAGGATGTAAGGTGTCCTGCCCCTGTGATGTTCGTCCAGTCCTGGGACCCCAAACCTGGTGGCTTTCATCTTACCCCCTTTCACGGCTCTCCTTTGGTTGCCTCTTGAGCTACTTCTAGGATTTATAGTTATAATGAATGGGAGAAAGAAGGGAGAAATGGGTTTGGGTTATGAATAGGTTTCTAAAATTAGTTTCCCATGGAAAGTCCCAAGGATAGATTTTTAAAAATAACTTCAAAGCAAAGCTTTCTGTTGTGATATACTAACATGTGGCCCCAAAGATTTTTTAAAGACAATTTCCTGTGATGGTTTTTAAATGAGATAAGATGTATTAATAAATTTTTGCCTAATGATATTTCTACTTGGAATTATACATCAAAAATACCATGGGGTTTGAAAAACTCTATAATCTGGGGAGATGAACCAAAAAAGAAATACTTGGTTAAAAAAAAAGAATAATAAGAGAGAGAGAGAAATACTCTGGCTTCAGTTTCTTGTTAAATACCCAAGGAAGTTCATGTTCTCATTTAGTATGTTTTCTTCTGTCATCCTTAAATGGATAAAGAATTATTTGAGACAGAGGCAGTTTCCAGAGTTTAATACCAGAAGTTTTCCCAAAGGCCTAGGTCAGTAGTGCGTCAGGGCTGTCTGGTTAACAGAAATCCCTAGAGATATTTAAGGCATCCCTGCTTCACCCTTTAAAATTTCTAAGCCAGTGAGGTGAGGGTTTGGCCCCTGAACATTTTTTTGTAAAGTTCTCTAAAGCAACTATGATGATTGACCACATTTGATAACTATATTTAACCAATATTTGGTACATTTCCAAAATGTGCTTGAACCGGAAAGAGAAGGTCCTTTGCTCAAGGTGACATGTTGTGCAGGGAAAGCCAAAAGAAAGATGGAAATGTTGACCTTGCAATGATTTTAAAAGGGAGAATGAAAACCAGAAACTACCCAGGAGTGCAGCGAGAATTATATAAAGGGTCCAATAAGTAGCATGTGAGAAAAATGCCTGGAATAATAGATGTATTTTACTTGGTGAGGACAAACCCTAGGGAGGATTGCTAATTATATTCAAATATTTAAAGGAGCATTTTGAGAGGAAACTAGACTTCCACCGTTTGGACTAGGAACCTGCATCTTTAGCAAACTTCCCAGGAGATTCTGAGGGAGACTATGGACTTCACTGGAACATTCCTGGTTACGAGAAGGCTTCATCCAGACTCTTTTTTTTTTTTTTTTTTTTTGAGATAGAGTTTCACTCTTGTCGCCCAGGCTGGAGTGCAATGGTGTGATCTTGGGGCTCACTGAAACCTCTGCCTCCCAGGTTCAAGCAATTCTTCTGCCTCAACCTCCGGAGTAGCTGGGATTACAGGTGCCCGCCTCCAAGCTCAGCTAATTTTTGTATTTTTAGTAGAGGCGGGGTTTCACTGTGTTGGCCAGGCTGGTCTTGAACTGCTGACCTCAGGTGATCCACCCGCCTCAGCCTCCCAAAGTGCTGGGATTATAGGCATAAGCCACCACGCCCCGCCCGTCTAGAATTTTATAGAATGGTTTGGGGGCTTGAGAATGAGAGAGCTGCTGGGGAGAATTCAACAGGGAACCAACCAACATGAAAAAGGAAGGGAAGAGAAGAGGAGAGGAGGAGAGAAGAGAAAGGAAAGAAGGAATGAACAGAGGAAGGAAGGCAGGAGAGATGGAAGGAAAGAGGGAGGGGAAGCAAGGCAAGGTGCTGTAGGTGTGGAGGGCCTGCCCTTGATGAAATGCTGGTTGTTTGACTGACTGTAATACAGCTCAGCGATTGGGAATAAGGCAGAGAAAGTAGAGTTGCATTCATTGGAAATGAGGAATGGGAAAGGCGGACAGAGTGGAAGGTCACGGGGAGAGGGAGTTTGAGTTGTTGATAAGGGAGGTAAGAGAGTTGTTGGTCATAGAGGATCATGGCCAAATAGGAAGTCAGGTACATAGAGAACACACCAACAGACCTCAGATAGGCAGTGAGGTCAATGGGCTAGAGGTTGCCATGAAGGTGCAGGAAATGTTTAGAAAGAGTGAGGAAGCGGAGAGGACTAGATTTGGAGTTGTTCCCACTCTTCCTGGTCAGTGAGATGGGGAGAAAGCAGCACCCAGCATGGAGCCAGCTGGGAAGCCAGAGTTTTGCCCAGGACAGTGCTTCTCAAACCCAGGTGTGCATCACCATCACCTAGAGGGCCTGCCACAACGCAGGCTGTGGGAGCCACCCCAGAGATTCTAAGGCAGTAGGTCTGCAAGGGGCCCAAGAGTTTGCTTTCTTGACTAGCTCCCAGGTGATGTTAATGTCTTGACACCGTATTTTGAGACAGTGACCTAGGAAAATCCAGCCTTCTGTTAATGGACACACTTGGAAAGGCTGAGGGCAAAAGAAACTGTCCACCATGCAGAGGTCCAGAAAGCAGAGTAGGCATGGAGGGGTGGGATGGGGGTGATTGGGAGCCTGGGGTCACTGTGGGCTGCACCTGGGTGAGAGTTTGGGCCTTTTTACAGGATGGGGTGAATTGGATGAATTCCAGAGTGTTTTGAAGTAGCAGTAAAAGTCTGCACGGGCAGTTCACACTTACCCATCACTAGTTATTTAAAATTGGCTCCTTTCCATGCATATTTCACTTTGTTGATGCTGAAAAGAGGAGTAGCTCATTTCACTGTGCCTGAAAGGGGTTTTGGTTCAGAGCTAGCACCGATAGGGTTGCCCCTCACGAAGAATGAAGAGTTTGATAGCACAGGCCTTGGGTGAAACCTGATGACATGAAGACTTTATTCTTTTTCTGAAACTTTCAATGACTTCCCGTTGTCTTTAGGGTACAATCTAGAATCCATAATGCTAGGTACAGAGGTCTTCACACTCTGGCCTGAGGCAGTTTCTCCCTTCTTTCCTGCACTCCAGTCACAGAGAATGTGTTCTATTTCCTTGCACTCACTGTGCTTTCTCCACCATCAAGGCCTTCACAAGTATTTGTGGGCTTTCTTGGAATGGGTTTTCTCTTACTTTATTAGCTAGCTTCTACTGATTATTCTAATAACAACTTAAGTGTCTCTTTTGCGGAAAACTTTCTTAAGCATCAAACTAGGACTCCTTTCTCCTTTCTTTTTTCAACTTATCTCACAGTTTGCTTTTGTTTGTTTGTTGTTTGTTTGTTTTGTTTGAGACAGGGTCTTGCTGTGTCGCCCAGGCTGGAGTACAGTAGCACCATCTTGGCCTACTGCAGCCTCCGCCTCCTGGGTTCAAGCAATTCTCATGCCTCAGCCTTTGAGTAGCTGGGATTACAGGCGTGTGCCACCATGTCTGGCTAATTTTTGTATTTTCAGTAGAGATGGGGTTTCACTATGTTGACCAGGCTGGTCTTGAATTCCTGGCCTCAAGTGATCTGCCTACCTTTGCCTTCCAAAGTGCTGGGATTACAGGAGTAAGCTACCATGTCCAGCCTCATGATTGTATTGTAATTCTGTGTTTACTATATAAATTCTCTGTTTTCTACCAGAAATGGTAGGATGGGAGAGGGGTGACCAACTCCTTCCAGTTTACCTGGAACTTCCCTAGTTTTATAGCTCCAAGTCCAGTGTCCTGGGAACTCCTCAGCTGGGGCAAACTAGGATGCTTTGTCATACTAGTCTGGTCCACAACACACTCTAGATCCAGCACTGTGGCCAGCACATATCACACGCTCAATATATGTGCATGAAAAAAAAAATGTGCATGAAACAAAATTTAGTAGTGCTTAAAGTGGGTAAAAGAGAAATTAGCCATCACTCTCAATATTCCCCTGACCTTAACAAACATTCCTTGAGAAGGAAAAAAATGGCAAACAGCCACTCTTCAAAATGATTTTAGGAGTCTGACTCTAACTTTTCCCTGAAAGACAGTGGTTGAATTTAAGACTATAGACAAATAGCAGGATAATATGTAAGTCCAGTCTGCTGAACGTGGGGGTGTCCATTCATTCATTCAGCAAACAGTATTTTTTTTGTGCCTGTCCTCAAAATACTCTCACCTCTCTACCAGGTTCACTAGTAAATTGTATTCATTCTCTTGGGAGAGTTTTTGTAAATTATCTAGTGATGTGCAAATACTGTGGTAGGAGATGACTCTAAACTCTATCAGCTGTGATTCTGAAGTGGGGCGTGGAATTAGCATGGGTTCCAGGCTAATGTCTGCAGACATTAGGACCCCTACGGTGGCCTAGGTCAGGCTATGAAAACATCCTACTTGCCTTCACATGTGTCTTCTTCCTCCACAACCCCTGGGGACATGGATGTCTCTCTAAGTAAATAAATGATCTGTGCTCATGAAGAAATGAAGTGCCTTGCAAGGAACACAATGTCCTGACTCAAGCTCCGGTAAACAAACTCAGTAATTTATGTGGGAAGTCCTTTGTAATTTTACACAGACCCTCAACTGCTTTAAACTGTTTAGGAATATTTATTCATACAGCATGTTTAAGAGTCAGCATCCAGGATTTCAGTCTTCCAAACAAGAAAATTAGAAAGCATGTTTTGTTCCCACAGTGACAGAGGAAGGGCAGAGGCTATTAGGACAACTCATCTCCTACAATATTAAAAACACCCTGGCAGGCTTCACCAGGTCACAAGAAGGACCCGCCGGAGCTGGGAGTGGGAAGAGCAGCTGTGGTGGTGGTTCGCAGACAGGTGCGTGGGCAACTTGTTTCTGCTTGTGAGGTCAGAGATTGAAATGAGAAGAAAGCAAGCTGAAATGCTTCTCCCCAGACCCATGATTTCCATTTTACTCAGAAAGCATGTCTTTACTTTAGACATGAGGGAAAATATGAAGCTAAGCAGAGGGTGAAAAACAGTCTAGAGAAGAAATAGGATAAGACGTTCGAATGTTTTTCACCTGCTTAGAACCAAGCCCATTAATAGAATAGGAGCCTCAATTCCCTTCACTTCCCTCATCTCAAGCAGTGGTAATGGAGAAAACCGCGATATTCCTCCAAGCATTCTTGACCCTGACAGTTGTTTCAAAGATACATGGTTCTATCATTGGATAAACCTGTGCACAGAGAGTGGCACAGATCAACCAAGACCCATTAGTACTTGTTCCAGTTTGCTATTTTGCAAATTACCTTAAAACTTTAGTTGCTTAAAACAACCACCGTTTTATTATATTTCTTGCTTTTATGGGTCAGGGATTTGGGCAGGGTTCAGTTGGAAGGCTCTTCTGTTCCAGGTGGCATGAACTGTGCTTGGTTGGTGGTGGATTCAGTTGGCAGGTGGGCTGGTATGGAGGACAGTTTCCTGCACAGATATGGTGCCTCAGAGGGTGTGGTGGGCCCAATAATGGTCCCCAGAGATATTCAGGTGTGAATCCCTGGAACCTGTGACTGTTGTTACCTCATATGGCAAAAGGGACTCTGCAGGCATGATTAAGGATCCTGAGATGGGGAAATCATCCTAAATTGTCTGGGTGGACCCTAAATGCAATCAGAAGTGTTCTTACAAGAGGAAGGGACAGGGAGATTTCACTACAGAGAAGAAAAAGGCTCTGTGAGGACTGACATGAGATGTCACATTGCTGGCTTCCAAGATGGTGGGAGAGGACATGAACCAAAGAATATATGGAGTTCTGCTGTCATTGCTGGGAAAAGGCAGGGAAACAGGTTCTTCTCTAGAACCCCTGGGGGAAGCAAGGCCCTGCTGACGCAATGGTCTCAGCCCAGTGAAATTGATTTTGGGCTTCTGACCTCCAGAACTGTAAGAAAATAATGTGTGCTGCTTTAAGTCACCAAGTTTGTGGCAATTTGTATAGCAGCCATAAAAAAAAAAAATAAACCAACAAACCTAACATAGTAGAGATGACCAGATGACTGGAGTGAACTGAGACTACTGAAGAGTGGGTGGTGCCATGGCCTCTCTGGCATGGCAACTGCTCTCAGCATTTCACAGGGCTCCCAGAGAGTGTCCAAAAGAGGAAATAGAAGTTTCCAATTTCTTCACCCTTGGGCAAAGCAATCACAGAGCCTAACCCAGTTCAAAGGATGGAGACTAAACTTTACCTTTCCATGAAAGAAGCATCAAAGACTTTGTGGCTGTCTTTTTACTGCAGGAAAGAACACTTTGAAAATTCATGCCCTACTGACTGTAGAGCAACACCGTCATGTCTGCATGCTTATTCAGTCTGCTGACTATCAAAATCCTGGTTCTGTGGTGGGTAAAATCATCTATCAGTTTGACATAAAAAACAGAATCACAGGGATTATTTTGTATTCCTGATGGAATCCAAAATCCACTGGCTTATGTCATTCTAAAAGAGGTCAAGAAAACAAGCAGGCTTGTTACAGTGTGTTCATTTATTCATTTCTAGTCTTTCTGCAGAATTGACTAGAAGACAGACATCGCATCAGCAAGTGGGGCCAGTAATGTAGAAGACAGTGTGACAAAACTGATGGATCTTCACTGCAAAACTGGAGAGCTGGTACAGGATTTCTCCGTTCTTTAGTCTGAGCATAACGACTACCATGAACTAGACAGACTCTACTGCAGCTTCTCAGAAAGTGCTGCTGTCACCTCCACTTCCAATCCAATGTGTTGTATGGATGAATGTGAGCGTTATTCAGGCACTTTCCCCTATGTCATGTCCTTTGATCTTCATCACATTCTACCTCTCAGCTCGTTATTTCTAATAACAGGAAACTCAGCCTGGGAACAGTCACCTAGCTAAATAAATGATCAAACCAAGACTTTGGGTTGGCCTTCCTCTTTTTCCCAGCTAAGGGAAGGTTCCCGGGGGTGGACACATGATACAAGAGCCCAGGGAAGCAGGTTTCCCCCATATTTCTCATGCCATTTTCTCCTCATTGCAGACGTATGCTGATTTCACACAACTGGCTAACTTAACAGGTGTTCAAGCGTTTGAGCACCTGGAGTAGAGATGAATCTGAGATGGGGGTTGCTGTATCAGCCCCATGCAATGCACACTGGCTGATGTCTTGAAGCTCTTTAGATTATACTTTTGCATTTACTTCTACAGTGGAGAATAATAGAGTCAGGACATCAGGGACCTGCACTTTGATCATGAAAACAAACTGGCTGGATCCACCATATTGGTAGAAGCCCAGTCATATACCTCAGCTGCCCTGAGGTATATGTTTGGGTGTGTGCAGGAGTCCATGAGAAGTGCTGCAATGAGCGCCTCTCTGAGTAATCTCTGGGCTTTTAAGAAATCATAACAACATAAGAGCAATAATAAAGATGAAACTCCTCTTACCACAACTGGAGACCTCTGAGGTAAAGGATTATTTTCTGGTTAGAAACTTGTGAGAATACTTTCCTTTTATGGGAACAATGGCTAGACCTCCAGCACTCTTAGCTGAGATCAAGCCAACTCTAGGCCAGGCATTGTATTAGGTCCTTTATTTATAGCTTTTTTTTTTTTTTTTTTTGGCATAAAAGGTATATTTTCTCCAAAATCCTATGTTAGCATATTTTTGTGTTGCTATAAAGGAATACCAGAGGTTGGGCAATTTATAAAAGAAAAGAGGTTTATTGGGCTCATGGTTCTGCAGGCTATACAAGAAGCATGGTACCTGCTTCTGGCGAGGGCTTCAGGCTGCATCCACTCATGGTAGAAGGGGAAGGGGAGCTGATGTGTGTAGAGGTCACAAGGAAGGAAAGAAGGGCAGGGAGGTGCCAGGCTCTTTCAACAACCAGTTATCTCGGGAACTAAGAGGGAGAAATCATTCCCTAGAGAATGACACCAAGCCATTCATGAGGGATCCACCCCCGTGACCCAAACACTTCCCACCAGGTCCCACCAGCCCTTTAACAACAGGAATCAACTTTCAACAGGAGACTTGCAGGGCCAGACAAACCCATATCCAAACCAGAGTAGCCCCCTACAAGGAAAGTATCTCCAAATTTCCCTGTTTCTAGTGAGCCACATTACATAGGGCTTCTACGCACAGGTGACAACTTAATCAGAGAAGAAAAAATGAAGTGGAGTTGGAGTTATACTCATAACATTTTAAAGTTTTATTACTATAACAAGTTTCAGAAGCATCTAAGGTGTTATTAATACTAACATTCAAACTTCCATGTTACAGACTTTATAAAGAAATGCGGTGAAGGGGCTGCAGAGTGATATTTGGTCTTGTCACCAACCAAGAAAATGGAAAAGAAGAAATATACTGAAAGCTGCTAGATGCAGCAACCACCACCCCTGGAAGGGAACTGGAAGGGGCCATGTATCAATTAGGGGTTCCTTCAGTAGAGTGTGAGAGAAAACCCAAAATAGGGGCCAGGCATGGTGGCTCATACCTGTAATCCCTGCACTTTGGGAGGCTGAGGTGGGAGGATTGCTTGAGTCCAGGAGTTAGAGACCAGCCCTGGCAACATAGCTAGATTTCATCTCTACAAAAAACAAAAAGAATCAGCTGAGTGTAATGGCATGCACCTGTGGTCTCAACTACTCGGGAGGCTGAGGCAGGAGGATTGCTTGAGGCAGGAGGTCGAGGCTGCAGTGAGCTGTGATTGCCCCACTGCACTCCAGCCTGCATCACAGAGCAAAATCCCATCCAATGCCAAATAGTTATGTCTTATTCAAGATAGATGCATTTTCTTTCTTTCCATAAAAGGAGACCCCAGGGTAGACAGTATTCTTGGTTACAGGTGTTCCACAGTGGTCAGGGATCCATCTCTCTCTCTCATCCATCCACTCTCTGTCATCTGACGTCCCATGGTCTAGGAAGGTTTCCTAGATTGCAGCCAATGTAGCTGCATTTCATCTACCAGGAAGAAGGGAGACAGAAAAAAGCAGCAGAGATGAACCCACTATCTTTTAAGGGGCCCCCTAGAAGCTGTCAAATAGACTACCACTTTATCTCTATAAGGAGGATGGAAAACGTCATCTTTAATCTGGGTCAACATATACCTTGTTCAAAATCAAAGTCTGCATAACTAAGAAAGATAGGAAAAACCAGTATGGATAGACCAAACATGGCAATTAGGAAAAAGACCTGATTTCTGCCTGGATTTCGGCATATACTACAAACATATTAACATTAACACAGTAACATTTAACAGGTCATGACTCCCCTTTCCAAAACTGCGTTAAATTAATTCTTAACACATGTACCAGGAAACTACTTTTCTTTTCCCCGAAACCTTTTTCTGGTAAAATTGGCATGTATCTTATGTTCATTCATGTCATATTTTGATAGACATGATAAAAATCTCATTGAATTGACTGCCTCAAACCTATGAAGCAGGCAATATTATTCTCATGGTTCAGGAGGATTAGGAAGTCTGTTTAGGCCCAACCAGGATTGAAATCCAGATGCATCTGGTTTCAAAATATTTAATGCGTTCTGAAAATGTACCAAAACTGTTGGACTTTAGGAAAAACAAAATAGCCTTGGTGAGAGAAGCTCTTCCCAGTTTGTCTCATATGAGAACATTGTTTGGTGGTAAAAAGAGGCATTTTAAAGCTGAGGAAGATGTGGTAGTGCAATATTAATATAAAGAGACATTGTAACAGAATACCGATGTGTCTTGGCCAGACCATTCTGTGTAACTATAAAGGGGTAGTATCTTTGGCTCCTGGGTCGTTTAAGCGACATTTTGCTGCTTCTACAACAGCGACACAGTAGATCCCAGCTGAGTTTGTGTTGCAGTCTGGTGGGCAGACGGTGTAAACAATCCAAACCGAATTTCCTTGCTTGCAAATACTATGGCAGATCCCTGAATGCAGAGCAGATGTGAGAAATAAACTTTTGAGCCATTTATATCTGTTGTAAATTGAAAGGGGGAAAAAATCCCCAAGTAGAAAAATAGCTTGGTTTGGTATTAGAAGAACGTATATTTTTAAAAGATGCCACATGAAGAAATTTGAGTATCAAAATAACATTGGGGAAAGTTGGTTAATAAAGTGTTGGAATCCAAATGTTTCCTAGAAACAGGTGTTATCCTTTATCAGCATTAAATTTAATTGGGTGTTCAAATGTTTAAGTCTTAAATTCAGGGAATGCCTGCTAGCATTTTGCTCCAGATTCCAGAAAAGTAGATTTGAGTATTGTCATGACAGAAATATATATATGGTTGCTAAGGCCAGAGGTTTACCCACAGGTCCTTCCCTGTATGGCCCAGCCACATGAGAGAAATTTTGAATGAAGCACATCTATATTTCTGTATTGGCTTTGATACAATTTGATGGGCCATCTGCTCCCCGACAGCTAGGTCCCCCGGAGCTGTCTCTAAACATCTGAATAACTCTGGTCCACAGCCAGCTGTGTTCACACAGTCAGAGGCTTCAACACAAGTCCCAGGTCTGAGCTGAAAGCAGTGGTATTGTTTAAAAGATACAGCTCTCAAATTTTACCATTTGAACAGAAATATAGTGAAGGTCATTGCTACCTTCTACACCACTGGAAAAAATGTTGGTTGTGCATGGGTTCACCACAACTTCTGCCCCTGAGGTTCGAGCCATCCTCCCACCTCAGCCTCCAAAGTAGCTGGGACTACAGGCACACACCACCATGCATGGCTAATTTTTTCCATTGTTGGAAAACTGGTAAACTGTTAGTGTCCCAATGAAACCCAATTTTACTGTGAGTACAATTAACCTTTGAGTCCCATGAGGCCCTAAATAAATTATTGGTCCCCAAATCACTGACTTGTTCTCATTAATGCCTTTGGACTTACTGTTAGGTGCAATCACAAAAGATATAAAATGCATCCGCTTATTGTGGAGTTTATCTCTAAAATAGGCAAGATGAGTTCTTTCCTGGATGTATAATTGAGAATTTAAAACACCTTTGGAATGCCAGTTTCCAAACAACTACTCCCAGAGAAGGAATTGTGAAGTATTGCTGCTTATTCTCTGTTCCTTGAGCTATGATGGAGCGCTGTGGAAGACTCTCTAGAGAGGAAGGGGACTGAGGAGACAAGGGCATTTCTTAACCACGGAACTAGAGAAATAGTCCCCTTTCCACCCTCCACACTGTTGAACAGGATCTTCAAGACTGAGATTCATACACTTTTATGGGAAAGTTCTTTCTGGATTTACACAGCTGTGACAGTATCATGCTTCATCATTAAAAAAGTATCAGACTCATTCTTTCTTTATTTTGTGTTTTTATTCATTCATTTAATTATTATTTCATTCAGCACGTTGTTGAGTGCCTTTTCTTTTCTTTTTTTTTTTTTTGAAATAAAGTCTGGCTCTATCACTCAGGCTGGGGTGCAGTGGTGTAATCTTGGTTCACTACAACTTTGCCCTCTGGGGCTAAAGCCACCCTCCCACCCCAGCTTCCCAAATAGTTGGGACTACAGGTGCCCGTCACCATGCCCAGCTAATTTTTGTATTTTTTCTAGAAATGGGGATTTCACCATGTTGGCTAGACTGGTCTCGAACTCCTGAGCTCAAGTGATGCTCCTGCCTTGGCTACCCAGAATGCTGAGATTACAGGCATGAGCCACCGCGCCCGGCCTATTTTTGAGCGCTTTCTGTGAACAGCTACTGTGTTAGTCATTAGAATTATGAGCAGAGAGAGAAAATCTAGACACTGCTGCTTACCGTCTAAGTTGGGGAGAGGGACATCAGTCTGAGGATCCCAGGGACAGAGGTACAACTGCCGTGACCTTCAGAGGAGCAGCTCAAGGTCACACGAGAGTCAGTAACAGGGCACTTGACTGAGGGTGGTCAGCAGAGAGTTCCATGAGGAAGGTATTTTGAGCTGAGAGCTGAAGGAAGCATGGGAAGAAGAGAGAAGAAAGGCAGATGAAACGTTGTAACAGGCAGATAGAACAGTTTGTACAAAACCCCTGTGACGTGGGGTATATGGTGGGAAGAGGGCCCAAGTGTTCAAGTAATGGAAGAAGGGAAC